TAAAATAGCCACTGCCTCTCCCCCCCCCAGAGGTGGCTGCATTTGAGTGCTGGGTGGGCCATCCCGGCGGCTTCGCTCCCCGCTGGCCCACCCCAGAAGTTAGGAAGGGAGGGGGACTCAAAACATGTGGCTGCCCCTCCGCTCAGAAGGATTTGTAAGATGAAGAACGTGAGAACGGCCACGCGGGGCCAGACCAAAGGGCCTGCTAGCCCAATGGTTCTCAACCGGTGGTAACAGGACCCTTAGGGCTACTCGAAAGAAGTCAGAGGGGAGGGGGGAAAGGTATGTCAACACCACTGAAATGTGGAGAAAACGGAGTTTTTTTGTTTGACGTTTCACCGCGCTTTATTATTTTGGTACTTTTGACACCCAGAAGTATAAAACTTTTGTTGTGGCGACGACAACGCTAATGGACAAACACGCGGTTCCTCTTTGGCCGGCAGAGAAGATACAAGCACCAGCAAAGCCCTGCAGTTCTCTCCATCAACTGTTGAGTGATATACATTTACACCCGCCCTAGCAGGCGCCAGCTGGGTCATGCCCGCCCGAGTATTCTGACCCAGACAAGGAGGGGACAGGCAGCCCCATAAGGGCAGATTCCCTGAGGAAGGCAGAGGGGTTGCGATGTTGCCAAAACTGGGGCCCCAGCGCTGCGTCCTCAGCGCCCCCCGTGGAACGGATATTTCTGCAAGGCCGGCGATTGCTTGTCTGTGGGAACGGCTCGGCTTCATGGTGCGCCGCAGCGGGGGAGTCTTCCCAGAGTGCAGTTGGCTTCGTCTCCACTCACTTATGTCTCTTCCATCAGCTTTGAGAATGACCAAAGTGGGGCAGGTTCCCTTTAGAGCAGGCATGTCCAAAGTCTGGCCCGCGGGCCAATTGTGGCCCGTGTTCCGGTTTAATACGGCCCCGGGGGGGGAGGTATGTCAACACCACTGAAATTTGGAGAAAACGGAGTTTTTTTGTTTGACGTTTCACCGCGCTTTATTATTTTGGTACTTTTGACACCCAAAAAATTGTCAGCGCCCGCCCGGCTGCGTTTTCAGTTGTTTCAACAAATGCGTTGCAACGGTAGAAAAAAAAAATGGTGTGTCTGAAAACGGTAGGTACTGGGGGTACTTCGTAAAAAAAGATTGAGAAACGCTGACCTAGCCCAGAGTCCTGCCTTCCAGCAGTGGCTGATGTCAGGTAACCCAGAGGGAGTGAACAAATCAGGGAATCATCAAGTGATTCCTCCCCTGTCGCCCGTTTCCAGCCTCTGACAAACAGGTTTGGGTATGGGTATGTCTACACTACAGGTTTGTCGGCAAAGTGGCCATTTTTCGGACAAAATCTGAGTAACGTCCACATTGCAATCGCGTTCTTTCTCAAGTCAATTGAAAGAACAGAGGGGTTTTCCGGCATTGGGAATCCTCTTTCTGCAAGGAAGAAGCCTTTTTGTGAAAGAGATCTTTCAGAAAGAGGCGTGTGTGGACGGGGAAGAGGGAGTTCTTTCGGAAGAAGAGAAAAGAGGAAAAAGCACAGGTGCCCTGGTGGCCATTCCACATAGTAAAGATTTAAAAGATTTATTTTCCTGTGTCAAGTTTTTTGGATCTCAGCCAGGGCCGGGCCTGTTTCTTGCTGTGTCTGTGCAGCGCCCGGCACGGAAATCTCTTTCAAAAAACCAGATAACTTTTTTGATGCACTTTTGTGTGTGGACTCTCTCAGTAATGTGGCCCTGGTCTCCTTTGTCGCCTCTAGCTATTTCCCTAGTACGGCTCATCCTGAGCTGTTGTGGTGATTGGCTGCATGTTTCAAACCTGCACAACAAACACAATTCAACCAAAGTTCTCCCAGCCTGCCCTGGGGGCAAATGTTCGATGCCCCGGAGGTCATTGTAGCTTCTAGAAAAATAAGCAGCTGAAGAGATCCAACTCCAGGGCTGTAATGTTGAGTTAACCCTTGCACTCTCTACTTCCATAAGCCATATGGGCAAGAATACTGTGGCAGGGAGTTCCACAGGAAAACAAGGAGCAGGGTGATTCTGCAGCACAACAAGGTTTGAAAACTAAAAGGAAAAAGCCTTTCTGATCTATAGAAATGACCCAAAACAAACAGCCTTGGTAGAGACCACTGCTCTGAACCAGGGCCGCAAGGATCAGGTGGGGCTACTGGGATATGTGGGCCCATGGATCTGATCAGGGAAGGCCAGATACCAGGCTAGATGGGCCTATTGGCATGCTGCAGCAGAGAGGTGGAGACTCTGGGAGAAACAGACCAATGGCTGAGGAGGGAGAAGAGTGGCCCAGCCAATGACAGAGGTGGAATCTGGAAATAAACATCACCTTTATTCATATACAGAACCTATAGAGCATGGGAACGAACATGGAGAATAGGGGCGGAGCTCAGCCAGGGCAGGGGGAGGAGTCTCTACCCAGGCCCTGAGCCACTAACATTCGTCCTCCCCCAGCAAAGCAAACAAGTTCCGGCTGGAGAGCTTCCCCTTCAGCACCCTCCTGGGTTGGGCCGGGGCTGGGGCCGGGGTGCTGCTCCCTCCCCTGCTGGGGGCTGCTAGCTCTTCTTCCTCCTCCTCTTCCTCTTCTTCATCAGCATCACGGTCCTTCTCCTCGTCCTCCTCCTCCCCGGAGCTAGAGATCTCCTCTTCCTCCTCCTCCTCCTCTTCCTCGGAGCTGCGCCGGCTGTGCTTGCGGTGAGCCTCCTGCAGGGAGGCGATCTCGGCCGTCTCGGGGTGATGCTCCCACATGGCTGCAGGGGGACAGACAGGGGGGGGCAGCCAGGGTGCA